CTTAATATTAGTTTTTGGCAACATTATTGGTGTATATCTGACTCAATGCAACCGAGTGCTGTATCATCCCAAAATTGATCAAAGCAATCTGCTAATATTAGATGTTTGATCCTGATGGAATGATCATGATTTTCTGGCAATCACTTCCACCATGTGAAGCAACAGAGGGTAAGTCTGATCAAGTGATTAAAGAAAAAGGAATATCAGAATTTTATTAATCATTAATAATTATTGTTTGCTTTATTGTGCGAATTATTTATAGTCCTATTTTTGTATTATAGCACATGCACATTATCACATAGATTGTATAATATAATGGTTGTATAATAATATAATTTGATAAAAATACATAAATTCTAAATTTCATCATTATTGTCAAAAACAGTGTATTCTCAGTTTTCAAGAGGAATTTGTGCTGTAGGAGAAAAGTATATCTGTGTTGGTAAGTTTGTAAGCTTATATATATTGTTTGTAAATAGCAAATAATTGTCAGTTAGAATGTGATAGGATGAGTGGGTGTACAATGCACATTTTCTGCCTCTTTATCCTGAGCAGGATGTTTCACGCAGTGTGTKGTACCAAAAACTTAGAGATACAACACTGCAAACCAGAGGATCCCTATGATCATTTACAAGTTCTGACTTGTCCCAAGCAAYTTCAAGTGTTCACTTTCAAGGATACAATTGTTGCTGTTGTCTATCAAGTTATGATAGCTTTTGGTGGACCAGAGAAGGATTACTATTGTTACTTTCTACTTTTGACTTGTAAGGTTCATCAGATGGTGGTATAATGGTATTTGATGTCCCAGCACGTGGAACTGGAGTCAAGCTACAAGAAACTCTAAGCACACATGCTGAGCCTATCTGTGATTTGGTTGGTAAGGATTCAAAGATGGTTTCATCAGATGATACAGGATACATGATTGTCTGGCAGGCAGGAGGGCACTTTACACAGTTATCCAAGATAGATGGATTTGGGTAAGCATATCAATATTGAATAGGCTCAAATGGTTTTGCATTGAAATGTCAAACATTTAATGTCAAGTTCTCGAATGCTTTTTGGACTCCAGTCTGCTATACTTTATTTCTCATACTCATTAATTATTCATGAGGTATCCAGCCAATCCCTGATTGTAATTTGTACCACGTGCAGTAACCGGATACCAGAGGAAGTACTCCTACCTTGTATTCTATCTTATTTCCAGTTACTTCCACCTTGTTTC